CCCCAAAACCCCAAAACCCCAAAACCCCAAAACCCCTCTAAACATTAAAAGAATTGAAATTATAGTAATACCTTTTCTTCAGTCTGACTTGTTGGTTTACTCTCGCTGGATTCTTTTGAATCAGAATAATTAATATCGAGTTCTATAACTGAACGGAAAATCTTACCTTGTGAAGAACTACCTTCATCAAAATCTGCTATTCTCTTTGAAATCATTGATATAGAGGCTAAACTGCCTTTTCTTCGAACTATCATGCCTGGTTCGAGGGAGATCTCACTCTCTATAGAGCCTTCATCAATGGTATCTTTAATGTAATCTTCAAAGATTCTCTTATTGCTAGGAATATCTACAAATCAGATTATAACCCTCACCAATATCCTTGTTTCTGTCCTCAACGAATAAAAATTGGTGGTCTCGATAGAGGAGTTTGTTCATATCAACCTATAGAAAGATTTGAGCAATGACTTACATCGATCAGGTTGATTTTATTTTATCATTTTGCTATAATGCATTATTCAAAAGTTCAAAAGAAAGTATGGTCGTTGAGTTAGAAATTTGGATATAAAATCAATAACAGATTACTTATATTTGCCCCTGATCTTCTTAATCTCTTTCATTTTCCTTCTCTTCTTCTTTGCTAATATTTCCTTGGGGTTATATTTCTTTCGAGCTTCGTGGTCAGATTCATCAGATTCTTCAGCACGGAGGACATCAATGATACCTCTAGAAGATCAGATAGATTCTTACGGCATTGGATCGTCCTTCTCAGCTCCGAAGGTGAAGAGTTTATTTTCCTTGGTCTTTTGTCGTTCTATTAATCTCGTTCTCTTTCGAAGGATAAAATCCATTCGTTTTGCTAGTCCAAATTGAGGCTTTGGTACCTCCAAATATTGCTTGGACTGCGCATCTGAGTTAGACTGTGTCATCTCTTTCGAGGACTCCTTGACAACTCTAGAAAGCTTACTAGCCATTCTAGTTAAGTTTCGTGTATAAGATGACTTGAAAGAGGATCTGGTTGTTGTCATCAAATCACCTTTCTGACTTTGCAAGAGTTTTAAATATTCGTTTTCTAGGTAGATTAGCTATAAATACTAAGTTACCATTAATTCTCGAAGCCCTATGATGATGGATTCCCTCCCTCGCTTGTAATGCTCGCACTTGTTTGTACATTTCTGGTGAGAAAGTAGCTTGGAGTAGTCTGGGACTTTTAGAAAATGCTATGGTTAGCTAGACCATAAAATTTACCTGCTCCTCTTGGTTGAAATCTACCCATCTGTCTACTTAATTATCTTATTAATATCGTCAATATCCATTGTTTGTTTTCCTTTATTTATGGCCTTTAGGCTTCGTTTGCTGTCTCTTAAACTGTAGGTTTTTAATCTCATTCGGAGGAGTTAAGAACCGTCTCCTCATTATTAAATTTTGGGTGGTTGGTCTTTGAATAAACTGTTGAAAATTAATTTTACAAAATACTTTGGTTTTGACAGGCTGTTTCTGGTCTTTTGGGACTACTTTATTTGACCTTAAATTTCATATTTCTGAATTTAACCTCTTTGGAAGAAACCTCAGGTGGAGAAGTAATATTTAATGCTATTAAGGAATTCATTAATTAAATTCTACACTGAATCATTTTTCAGCAATGTAAATAGTCGGAAAATTAGAAGTTTGCCTTACTTCTGTCAAAAGCCTGGATTAAGGGGTCAACTTTAGGACTTGTAACACCAATACCTATATTGAAAGTTGGAAAGGCGTATAGCTTAGTCATAGAGCATCGCTCATGCATATAATTCTTAATTTCGTGAAAATACTAACTTACCAGTGCTGATATTTGAATTTGGAGAAAAGGTACGATTTTGATCTCCTGATAAAAGCTTAGCTCTTGCAAATCTCAAGTTCATATCTCTAATGTTTGGCCTATAAGAGTGAGTTATATCTAAAAATTATATTAAAGGAAAGCTATTTTAACAAAATTTTAATTAAGAAGGATACTTGAGAGAGTATAATATATGTTGAAATTTGTCTTACCTCATCAGATTCATCCCGGTGAGCGTGTAATCCATTTTTGTACTATAACAGAAGATAAATAACCCAATTTTGAATAATAGTGGGAGTTATGATTAAGAAAATGCACCATATTTTTAACACATTTTCTTGATTGAAACCATACTGTGAATAAATATTTCAATATTTATAAAACTCTACGGGGTTTTGGGGTTTTGGGGTTTTGGGGTTTTGGGGTTTTGGGGTTTTGGGG